AAATATTCAAAAACATCAGTATTTAAGTTTGCCAGTAGAAAGGACTTTCAGACTTTTCAGACTTTGTAAGATCTAATGATTTCTTTTAAAAATTGCTGATTGCAATAGAGTTGCATGGGCAGTCGCCCTCCAAAATCCCTGGTCCCTGATAAAGATATCTCCCTTCTGGAAAACACGGCCTTCCATCACTCCTTTCTCCTTCTTTGCCCCCGCGTGAAAAGACCCCTTCCCCTCTACACCCCTCCCCAATCCGCATTCCTCCACGGGCCCCGCTGGCCCCTCAGGAATCCTTCTGCTTTTCCAGGAGGTGTTTCCAGCCATGTCATGCCCAGTCCTGCCCGCGCCTTCCAACCAACTGGAGCGTCAATAAAGACCACGCAATAAGTCACGCTTTTTTGTTTTTTCTCCACTTCCAAAACATCGTATGGGCATTCGACAGCGTTTATGTGGACGCGAGAGCCAGCCATACCTGATTCTTCCCTTGTCTGCCTTTAAAAAATCTCCCAATCCATTGAGCACACAGCTGCCCCTCTGTAGTGGACAGATAACAACCGGCCTGCGTGCCCCAGCAGAAGCAGATAGGCTCGAAAAATCACTGGCCCGGCTTTCCAAAAATGCTAATGACGAAAGGAAGCACTTTGACGGCCAAAAAAAAGAAAAACAAAATTGAATGAAAAGATCGCGAGGCAGAGGAACAGCTCTTGTAGATCTGTCGGTGGCGGTTTTGACAGATATTTGCTTGTAAGTACACTTGTTTGCTGCGTCTTATCTCCCGCGCAGCAGAACACTGACCTACATTGCATCAAGCACAATGCACAAATAAATGCGCTCTCTTTTCCGCACCTTAAAGACAGATGGATGGGAATGAAATGGCGGCAAATCCGAGCAACAGAAGGTATTCTTTTCGTGGAATAAAAGCGCGCCGGCTTATAGGGGGAGAGCGCGGCGCGACCATCTCCACCGTGTGTTTGATGGCTCCTCAAAGGCCCGGTGGAGGAGAGTCAATATTGGAGATATTGCTGCAGCTGCTGGGAGGGATTGCAATGCTACATATGCGCGTTCATACACAAACACACACACGGTTACAAACACACACACACGGTTACAAGCACACACACACACGCGGTTACGGGCGTGTACTATCTATCCAGCACAGACAGGCGGCAGAGATGCAGGCCGAAGCTGAAGCAGATAGCAGTTGACCCTCAGGGCTGGTTCCACACTCACAAACCAAACTTAGATACAATTATGACAAAGTTAACTCCTGAACCAGATCTTCATACAAATCCGCAAACACTAAACACACATTTTGTTTGTCCCAACAGAAAGACAACATGTGTCTTTTTGCATACTTTTAACACTTGAGGCCTGTCTTTCTTGTTAGACAGATGAGCCTTATCCCCATTGGTTTAGCTATACAATTACTAATGAATGTATAGGACAGGGCCAGGTGTAGAATAAGCAGCATTATTTTAAACTCTATACTGTGGACTTTTAAAAGCAGGGGTCTTCCCACAACAGAAACAGCCTTAAAAGTAAGATGTTTTTAACAAATCACACCACAGCATGTGAAAACAGCTTGGTTCTATAACTGGTAAATTTTCTAGTGCTTTCAAAGTTACATACCCCAGCTTTAACTGTGTTTCTCTTGGACTCCTTACAGTTTTTAGAATGCAGATACTTTTGTGCTCCTGTGTGGTAGGTGTCTTTCTTGCTGTGTTTTTCTCTTTTTTGCTTTTCTGTCTGAAAAAGCTAATATAAAGCTGGACAGAAGGATCACCTGAAACAATGTTCTGTCTCACTGTGGCAGAGACCACAGTAATAAGGATATGGCTGCATCCAATTTGAACAAAAACACCTCCTACCTTCTCTGTCTCATTTCAAATATATTAGATATCAATATTATTATTTATCATACAGTCCTGTATCTACAGCCTCAGTCCTGGATCTATAGACTTAAGCCTGGTTCACACGGCAGGATATTTAGGCCGATTTAGACCCGATTTACCCCTTACGACAATCTTAAGAAACGCTCCGATTTCCGTAACAAAATCTTACATATTATCCTGCCGTGTGTGGTGTGTTAAGACTGCACTCGTCGCTCGGAAGGACATCGGGACTGCTCCCGATCTCAAATCGGAGATATCCAACATGTTGGATTGTTTTGGCCCGATTTCTCTTCGTGTGTGGTGTCCCCCGAGGACAGACGTGCGCGTTGCCATGACTGCGGCGTGTAGCCAATCAGAAGAGGAGACGAGGCGGTGAGGAAACGCCTCCATATCACGATGTAGCAAGTATAGTCCGAGCTCGTGTTGTCTACACTTCTTTGATCATCGCCTTTTCTTTTGATTACGTCTTTTCTCCGATAAAAACAAACTATCGCCAATGCATCCTCTTTGTCCGCCATGTGTGTTTACTCTGAAGTCACGATTGATCTCGCGAGACCTGAGATTTCCGTCTGATCTGTGAATACTCGGAGGGGGGGGGGGGATCGGTTCGTGTGTGGTTTGTGTGATTTTTGCCGTGTGGCTGCGCACCACACACTGTACGACCAAAGTGGTTAGACCCGTGATTTTTTATCTCCCTGTGTGGGGTCTCACACAGAGAAAAATCGGCCGACAATTTTAAAATCGTCTCGTGGTTCACACGGCAGGATATTTAGGCCGATTTAGACCCGATTTACCCCTTACGACAATCTTAAGAAACGCTCCGATTTCCGTAACAAAATCTTACAGATTATCCTGCCGTGTGTGGTGTGTTAAGACTGCACTCGTCGCTCGGAAGGACATCGGGACTGCTCCCGATCTCAAATCGGGGATATCCAACATGTTGGATTGTTTTGGCCCGATTTCTTCGTCGTGTGTGGTGTCCTCCGAGGACAAGCGAGCGCGTTGCCATGACTACGGCGTGTAGCCAATAAGAAGACGAGGTGACAAGCCGGTGAGGAAATACCGGAAAAAAACCAAAACACAGCAGCATGGCTTTGACCATTGCCTTTTCTTTGGATTACGTGTCTTCTCTGTTAACAACAAACTGCACACTATCACCACTGCATTCTCTTCGTCCGCCATGACTGTTTACTCTGAAGTCACGCTTGATGTCGAGAGATTTTGTGAGATTTCCGTCTGACCTGGGAATGCTCGGGGGGGCGTGTCGGTTCGTGTGTGATGTTTGTGGCTTGCGTGATCTTGCCGTGTGGCTACGCACCACACACTGCACGACCAAAGTGGTTAGACGCAGGATTTTTAATCTCCCTGTGTGGGGTCTAACACGGAGAAAAATCGGCCGACAATTTTAAAATCGTCTCGTGTGAACCAGGCTTTAGTCCTGGATCTATAGACTCAGTCCTGGATCTACAACCTGTCTGTCTGTGGGAGCGGATCTCTCTCCCAAGATCCCTCACTTTTCTGAGGGGGTGTGTGTTAATTCTGGTTTGTGAGTTTCTCATATTAGCCTGGATGAAGCTACAAACAGCTGAAGTTCTGCTTTTGTTGAGGGAACAATGTTGTAAGTAAGCGCTTTGGGTGACCTTGGCCTGTAAATATGCGCTATATAAATAAGGATTACTAATATGGTAAGCACAACAACACAGGTGAATATTTCTTCCACCAAAAGCTCTGTTTCCTTCACTCCTACTTAGTCCTACTCTACTTGTCTAGTTGCGTTTCTTATGCTTTAGCACCTGTTATTGTATCGTCGCAACCAACCCACAACAAACCAGCATCTGGGGAAAGTCCGCGGTAACCATGGCCTCCAGCAGCACTCTGGCCAATCACTGGTTCTAAAGTGTAAAGCCCAACGCACACCGAAACGCCTTGACGCGCGGCAAAAGAGCCGCCTCCTTTATTTTCTATGAGAGAACGCACACCAAGGTTGCAGTGACGCGCGGCGACGCTGGACCGGGCGCCACGATTCAGTTTTGTTGAATCCAGACGCGGCGCCGCGGCTGAAACTGTCCCTCCAAGCACCCGTAGTTTTCTTCTTCTGCGCTTCTTATCACGTAGCTGTGAGCGCGGTCTCAAATTTACACACTTGTCGGCGCTATTGCTCAAGTAAACCGGTCACAATGGACGAGGAAAGCTTGATAACCCAAGTACAGCGTTACCCAGAGCTATTTAACCCACAGAATCCTTTTTATAAGGATATCGTGCGAAAGGAAATTGCCTGGAGAGCAATTTCACTTGAAATTGAATGTACAGGTAAGCTAACAATAGGTAATTGTAGCTATTTTATTAAAATATTAGTAGAAACTTCCAAACGTCACTCACCCATTTCATCTGCGATCAGCTGGAAAAGGACGCTAGCCAAGGCGTTCCGGTGTAATTTGACACATGTCATGAACGCGCGTCAAATGACGCGCCGCGAGGCGCTGCGTTTCGGTGTGCGGTGAGCTTTAGAACACTTTAGAACCAGCTCGGCTTGGTTCGAACCACGGCCAAGAGAGACTAAAGAAGAACATGGTACTAGTTAAATGGGGCCGGTGGAAACTCTCCCAATCGGAGTAGAGTAGAGTAGAGTAGAGTAGAGTAGATAAGTAAGTAAGTAAGTAAGTTTTTATTTATATACCGCCTTTTCACTGCAGATCTGAGTCTCAAAGCGGTTTACAATTGTTAATTTTGGGCATTTGTCTCTCACTCCACACAGAGATGGGAGCAGGGTCGCCAGTACAGGAGGCACATGCCAGACCTATTGGACATATTTTTAGTGGTAGGGGAAACCGGAGTACCCGGAGGAAACCTACGCAGACACGGGGAGAACATGCAAACTCCACTCAGAAAGGCCCTGGTCCGACCGGGATTCGAACCCAGGACCTTCTTGCTGAGAGGCGAGAGTGCTATCCACTCAGCCACCGTGCCGCCCGTGTAGATGTGTAGATGGAAACAGGGCTAAAGTTTCTTCCACGTAAAGTCAGAGCAGAGCTGTGCAGATAACTGGTTGATTGCCAGTCCATATTTACGCCTGCTTAATGCGCGCTTGTCACTCTCTACACGGTGTAGAAGTTAAGTGGTGGTCAGGAGCCAGCTGTCAGTCAGAGCGGCTGATCCACGCCCGTCACGATCCTCGCTCCGTCTGTAATTAGAGGATCTGTTTCCAGCTAATTGTCGCTCACTTAATTGTGCACCGGTGAATGTATAGCGGCACGCACACACCCCCGGACCGGCCCATACATTAGCATCTGCAGAGGAGAGAGAGAGGGGGAGGGAGAGAGAGAGAGAAAGAGAGATTTTAGTTGATTTTAACAGACTTTTATTGTGTCGATTAAAACAGTTCCATTATTATAATACACCTTGTGATATTTACAACAAAACAAAGCTTGGAATATTGTGCAATGCATAGATCCATTCGTATACAGTTCATAGTCAGAGACAGGGACAGGGAGAGAGACAGAGACAGGGAGAGAGACAGGGAGAGAGGCAGAGAGAGAGACAGGGAGAGAGGCAGAGAGAGCGAGAGAGACAGGGACAGGGGGAGAGGCAGAGACAGGGAGAAAGACAGGGGGAGAAGCAGAGACACGGAGAAGGACTGGGACAGGGAGAGAGACAGGGAGAGCGAGAGAGACAGGGACAGGGAGAGAGACAGAGACAAGGAGAGAGACAGGGACAGGAAGAGAGACAGGGAGAGCGAGAGAGACAGGGACAGGGAGAGAGACAGAGACAAGGAGAGAGACAGGGACAGGGAGAGAGACAGGGACAGGGAGAGGGAGAGAGACAGGGCCAGGGAGAGAGACAGCGACTGGGAGAGAGACACGGGGAGAGGCAGAGACAGGGACAGGGAGAGAGACAGAGAGAGAGAGGGAGAGAGACACGGACAGGGAGAGAGACAGGGACACGGAGAGAGACAGGGACAGGGAGAGAGACAGGGACAGGGAGAGAGACAGGGACAGGGAGAGAGACAGGGACAGGGAGAGAGACAGGGCCAGGGAGAGAGACAGGGACAGGGAGAGAGACAGAGACAGGGAGAGAGACAGGGACTGGGAGAGAGACAGAGAAAGGGAGAGAGACAGAGAAAGGGAGAGAGACAGGGACAGGGAGAGAGACAGGGACAAGGAGAGAGACAGGGACAGGGAGAAAGACAGGGACTTGGAGAGAGACAGAAACAGGGAGAGGGAGAGAGACATGGAGAGAGATAGGGAGAGGGAGAGAGAGACAGAGACAGGGAGAGAGACAGGGACAGGGAGAGAGACAGGGACTGGGAGAGGGAGAGAGACAGAGACAGGGAGAGAGACAGGGAGAGGGACAGAGACAGAGACAGGGAGAGAGACAGGGACTGGGAGAGGGAGAGAGACAGAGAGAGAGAGGGAGAGAGACACGGACAGGGAGAGAGACAGGGACAAGGAGAGAGACAGGGACAGGGAGAGAGACAGGGACAGGGAGAGAGACAGAGACAGGGAGAGAGACAGGGCCAAGGAGAGACACAGGGACAGGGAGAGAGACAGAGACAGGGAGAGAGACAGAGACTGGGAGAGAGACAGAGAAAGGGAGAGAGACAGGGACTGGGAGAGAGACAGAGAAAGGGAGAGAGACAGGGACAGGGAGAGAGACAGAGACAGGGAGAGGGAGAGAGACAGGGAGAGGGAGAGAGACAGAGACAGGGAGAGAGACAGGGACAGGGAGAGAGACAGGGACTGGGAGAGGGAGAGAGACAGAGACAGGGAGAGAGACAGGGAGAGGGACAGAGACAGAGACAGGGAGAGAGACAGGGACAGGGAGAGAGACAGAGAGAGAGAGGGAGAGAGACACGGACAGGGAGAGAGACAGGGACAAGGAGAGAGACAGGGACAGGGAGAGAGACAGGGACAGGGAGAGAGACAGAGACAGGGAGAGAGACAGGGCCAGGGAGAGAGACAGGGACAGGGAGAGAGAGACAGAGACAGGGAGAGAGACAGGGACTGGGAGAGAGACAGAGAAAGGGAGAGAGACAGGGACTGGGAGAGAGACAGAGAAAGGGAGAGAGACAGGGACAAGGAGAGAGACAGGGACAAGGAGAAAGACAGGGACTGGGAGGGAGACAGGGAGAGAGACAGGGAGAGGGAGAGAGACAGAGACAGGGACAGGGAGAGAGACAGGGACTGGAAGAGAGACAGAGACAGGGAGAGGGAGAGAGACAGGGCCAGGGAGAGAGACAGCGACTGGGAGAGAGACACGGGGAGAGGCAGAGACAGGGACAGGGAGAGAGACAGAGAGAGAGAGGGAGAGAGACACGGACAGGGAGAGAGACAGGGACAAGGAGAGAGACAGGGACAGGGAGAGAGACAGGGACAGGGAGAGAGACAGGGACAGGGAGAGAGACAGAGACAGGGAGAGAGACAGGGCCAGGGAGAGAGACAGGGACAGGGAGAGAGACAGAGACAGGGAGAGAGACAGGGACTGGGAGAGAGACAGAGAAAGGGAGAGAGACAGAGAAAGGGAGAGAGACAGGGACAGGGAGAGAGACAGGGACAAGGAGAGAGACAGGGACAGGGAGAAAGACAGGGACTTGGAGAGAGACAGAAACAGGGAGAGGGAGAGAGACATGGAGAGAGATAGGGAGAGGGAGAGAGAGACAGAGACAGGGAGAGAGACAGGGACAGGGAGAGAGACAGGGACTGGGAGAGGGAGAGAGACAGAGACAGGGAGAGAGACAGGGAGAGGGACAGAGACAGAGACAGGGAGAGAGACAGGGACTGGGAGAGGGAGAGAGACAGAGAGAGAGAGGGAGAGAGACACGGACAGGGAGAGAGACAGGGACAAGGAGAGAGACAGGGACAGGGAGAGAGACAGGGACAGGGAGAGAGACAGAGACAGGGAGAGAGACAGGGCCAAGGAGAGACACAGGGACAGGGAGAGAGACAGAGACAGGGAGAGAGACAGAGACTGGGAGAGAGACAGAGAAAGGGAGAGAGACAGGGACTGGGAGAGAGACAGAGAAAGGGAGAGAGACAGGGACAGGGAGAGAGACAGAGACAGGGAGAGGGAGAGAGACAGGGAGAGGGAGAGAGACAGAGACAGGGAGAGAGACAGGGACAGGGAGAGAGACAGGGACTGGGAGAGGGAGAGAGACAGAGACAGGGAGAGAGACAGGGAGAGGGACAGAGACAGAGACAGGGAGAGAGACAGGGACAGGGAGAGAGACAGAGAGAGAGAGGGAGAGAGACACGGACAGGGAGAGAGACAGGGACAAGGAGAGAGACAGGGACAGGGAGAGAGACAGGGACAGGGAGAGAGACAGAGACAGGGAGAGAGACCAGGGCCAGGGAGAGAGACAGGGACAGGGAGAGAGACAGAGACAGGGAGAGAGACAGGGACTGGGAGAGAGACAGAGAAAGGGAGAGAGACAGGGACTGGGAGAGAGACAGAGAAAGGGAGAGAGACAGGGACAAGGAGAGAGACAGGGACAAGGAGAAAGACAGGGACTGGGAGGGAGACAGGGAGAGAGACAGGGAGAGGGAGAGAGACAGAGACAGGGACAGGGAGAGAGACAGGGACTGGAAGAGAGACAGAGACAGGGAGAGGGAGAGAGACAGGGCCAGGGAGAGAGACTGCGACTGGGAGAGAGACACGGGGAGAGGCAGAGACAGGGACAGGGAGAGAGACAGAGAGAGAGAGGGAGAGAGACACGGACAGGGATAGAGACAGGGACAGGGAGAGAGACAGGGACAAGGAGAGAGACAGAGACAGGGAGAGAGACAGAGACAGGGAGAGAGACAGGGCCAGGGAGAGAGACAGGGACAGGGAGAGAGACAGAGACAGGGAGAGAGACAGGGACTGGAAGAGAGACAGAGAAAGGGAGAGAGACAGGGACTGGGGGAGAGACAGAGAAAGGGAGAGAGACAGGGACAAGGAGAGAGACAGGGACAGGGAGAAAGACAGGGACTGGGAGAGAGACAGAGACAGGGACAGGGAGAGAGACAGGGAGAGGGAGAGAGACAGAGACAGGGAGAGAGACAGGGACAGGGAGAGAGACAGGGACTGGGAGAGGGAGAGAGACAGAGACAGGGAGAAAGACAGGGAGAGGGACAGAGACTGAGACAGGGAGAGAGACAGGGACAGGGAGAGAGACAGGGACAGGGAGAAAGACAGGGACTGGGAGAGAGACAGAGACAGGGAGAGAGACAGGGACAGGGAGAGAGACAGGGACTGGGAGAGAGACAGAGAAAGGGAGAGAGACAGGGACTGGGAGAGAGACAGAGAAAGGGAGAGAGACAGGGACAGGGAGAGAGACAGGGACAAGGAGAGAGACAGGGACAAGGAGAGAGACAGGGACAGGGAGAAAGACAGGGACTGGGAGAGAGACAGAGACAGGGAGAGGGAGAGAGGCAGGGCCGGGGAGAGAGACTGCGACTGGGAGAGAGACACGGGGAGAGGCAGAGACAGGGACAGGGAGAGAGACAGAGAGAGAGAGGGAGAGAGACACGGACAGGGAGAGAGACAGGGACAGGGAGAGAGACAGGGACAGGGAGAGAGACAGAGACAGGGAGAGAGACAGGGCCAGGGAGAGAGACAGGGACAGGGAGAGAGACAGAGACAGTGAGAGAGACAGAGAGAGGGAGAGAGACAGAGACAGGGAGAGAGACAGGGACTGGGAGAGAGACAGAGAAAGGGAGAGAGACAGGGAGAGGGAGAGAGACAGAGACAGGGAGAGAGACAGGGACTGGGAGAGAGACAGGGACAGGAAGAGAGACAGACAGGGAGAGGGAGAGAGACAGGGCCGGGGAGAGAGACTGCGACTGGGAGAGAGACACGGGGAGAGGCAGAGACAGGGACAGGGAGAGAGACAGAGAGAGAGAGGGAGAGAGACACGGACAGGGAGAGAGACAGGGACAGGGAGAGAGACAGGGACAGGGAGAGAGACAGAGACAGGGAGAGAGACAGGGCCAGGGAGAGAGACAGGGACAGGGAGAGAGACAGAGACAGTGAGAGAGACAGAGAGAGGGAGAGAGACAGGGACTGGGAGAGAGACAGGGACAGGGAGAGAGACAGGGACAAGGAGAGAGACAGGGACAGGGAGAAATACAGGGACTGAGAGAGAGACAGAGACAGGGAGAGAGACAGAGAGAGGGAGAGAGACAGGGACTGGGAGAGAGACAGAGAAAGGGAGAGAGACAGGGACTGGGAGAGAGACAGGGACAGGGAGAGAGACAGGGACAGGGAGAGAGACAGGGACTGGGAGAGGGAGAGGGAGAGAGACAGAGAGAGGGACAGAGACAGAGACAGAGAGAGACAGGGAGAGAGACGGAGACAGGGAGAGAGACAGGGAGAGAGACAGGGAGAGGGAGAGAGACAGAGAGAGGGAGAGAGACACGGACAGGGAGAAAGACAGGGACTGGGAGAGAGACAGAGATAGGGAGAGAGACAGAGACAGGGAGAGAGACAGGGAGAGGGAGAGAGGCAGAGACAGGGGAAGAGAAAGGGAGAGAGACAGAGACAGGGAGAGAGACAGAGACAGGGAGAGAGACAGAGACAGGGAGAGAGACAGAGACAGGGAGAGAGACAGGGAGAGGGAGAGAGACAGGGACAGGGTGTCACCACTCAGACACAGTGCCTTTAGTGTAGTATTGTTGTTATAATTAATACGCTTAGTTGTGGACAAAAATGGCCCATAGACATAATTCAATTCAATGTGTTTGTATCGCCCCAAAATCAATCATCTCGGACGACTTTACATAGTTGTGGATTCGCCAACAACAGATCAGAGAATCAAACATTTCAAATACAGGAATTACAAGAAAAGCATAGGACCCAGGAAGACCACTGTCCAGAAACGTGACAAAACAGACGAGACAGATTCAGGCCCAGACATCAGCTTGTTAGTGTCATAGTTTTATATTAAATACTTAAAATAGTTTGTAATCTTTAGGGCTGAACAATCACATTGGATCTCAACAGAACAGGTAGTCCACTTCCTGTCTGTGTTATTATAGATTAATCGGTGTTGAGAAATTGGAAATTGACAATAGAAAGACAATTATTTCTAGTGTTTATTCTGCTCCATCCTCACAGAAAACAGCCCTTTGTTCCGCGCTGCTGTTGTGTGTAATGACAGGCGTTTCAGGTGTCGAATTGAAATCTTTTCAGTTGGCTTGGAATCCTTTAGCGTGTGGCTGAACGCCTTGATGGATGCTACGTTTCAATGCCGCGCTGAGTATTACCTGTCTATTACTTTTGTTCCACACACAACGCCAGCTCTGGACGATTATCTGCTGAGTGGCACCGGCCTTGGTCCGGAAAATGACTTTTGTTTGTAAATTCTCTCATTAATGCCTTTGATTGGAAAAGTTTAGTATTTGGAAAAGTTGGATATTCAAAAAACTAATGTTGGTGTTGATTTTTGACCCTTATATTCAAATTAGACTTCCACTTTACATCTGCATAGTCCAACATTTTGGTTCTATAGCCTCTGTCTTGGGTCTACAGCCTCAGTCCTGGATTTACAACCTCAGTCCTGGATTTACAACCTCAGTCCTGGATCTACAGCCTCAGTCCTGGATCTACAGCCTCAGTCCTGGATTTACAACCTCAGTCCTGGATCTACAGCCTCAGTCCTGGATCTACACAGCCTCAGTCCTGGATCTACAGCCTCAGTCCTGGGTCTACAGCCTCAGTCCTGGATCTACAGCCTCAGTCCTGGTTCTACAGCCTCAGTCCTGCACTGAAGGCCAAATATACATGCTTGGGAAAACTAGTGATAGAACCGTTTTGAGAAGTCGGCTAACGTTAAATGGATTTTACAGCATGTTTGTAATCTGAAATCTAGGTACTCCAGCTTTAATTAGTGACCTCCAAAGACAAAGCATCACACACTATATCAACATAAGAACCCTCTAGTTCTAAGAGTATTCAGTTTGCATTCATTATCAATCTTGATTGTTTCTGTTGTCTTTCAGCCCATGCCCCTGCTTCCCTTCGGTTAATGAGAAAGAATAAAAGACTAAATATACCATTGCTAATGCTTCAAAAGTACCTTATAAAAAAGACCTAGAACCAGCCCTGGGAGATCTTGGAGAACAGTGAAGTTTGACCTCCTCTCGCGCTCATCATTTAACGGGAAAATAACAAAACGTGGGAGTCAAATTAGCCGGTCCCAATGGCGTGGGCGTCCCCTCCCCCGCGGCGACTTAACCGCTGTATACGGCAGCACCATTCCATTCTCTTTTGTTGATGAGAACTTTTCTTTTATTGAAATCCTCCAACAATTGTAACCAGGGATTTTCTTTGTGAGTCACACTCCATATTAACCGCGCTTTCTTCTCCCGTTTTCATTTGCAGGTAAGTCTATTGCATTTTTTGGCCCGCTTTCCCAACCGCTGCCGCACTCCTCTGGATATTAAACCCTCGTCTCCCTGGCGGTGGCACACAACGAGCTTTCGGGAAAAAAGTGAAGAGGATTAATTAAAACAGAAAAGCTGTTACAATGGACACATGGATCGTTTCATTAGGAGCCAGTTGCGCCGCCGCGGAATCGCCAAGAAATCGCGGCCGTCGACGGACACAGCGGCAGATAAAACAAATGTGTGGAAAAAAACAAAAAAAAGAAGCAGGCTATGCGGAGTGGAGGAGGCCCTAATGAAGCCAGCTGGTCCCAGTCCAGAGCAGCGGGACGGGGGAGGAGGGGGAGGGACCTGGGGGGGCAGGATGTATGGCCGTCCAGGCAGCTCTATTGTATCAGGAGAATCCAGTAGGTGTATTTCTTCCAAAGTGTGCGGAGGAAAGCTGCGGTCGGAGCCAAACGGCACTTCTGCTAATCGCGCCGCAATTACTCCTCTAATAGATGTTTTTTTATTCCGCCTCGCAGACGCCGTGCTGGTGCCGAGCCCAGCGCCGCGCTCCCTGGATCGCGTTCCACAGCTATCAACGGCCCGATTGGAGAGGAAGGGGGGATGGCCATATTAAAAAAAATAAATGGAAGAACGTTTTTTTGCGACGGCACCAAAGTAGCAAAAGTGTGTGAGTGATGAGAGCGGAGAGGTGTAAAGTCAGGAAGGAGAGCGTTTGGGTTGAGGTGAATGCAGCATTCCAAACCACATTCTCCTCATGACAACAATGAACCTGATTTATACAGCACTTTTATACAGCACTTAAAAACACTTTTTAGGTCAGAGGGATTCAAGAATAACAGCTCCCCAGAGGCCAAAGCATAAAAGTGTGTAAACTCTGTACATGTTTGTGTATATTTGTATCTGCTGTTTTACATCAAAGTATTTAGACAAAAAGGATTTCTTTAATTTGAGTTTGGAGATTGTTTTCTTGTAGATTTTTTCTGACCAAAACTATGTCAGTGACTGTGTGTTTGGACTGAACCAAAACCGGCTCAAAGTTAAAGGATTGCCCAATGATTTTTAGTTATTATACAATACATTTTATGATTACACAGTAAAAACTGACAAAATATCAGGTAATAATTACTTGAATCGTACATTCTGACTGTCTTTAAACAAGATTTGCCAATGAGACAAAGCCATGTAGTCTGATTTAAGAACTATTGCTTTATTTTCTCATTCCAAGGGAGACATTTCTTGTATATTTTTAAAATAAGATCATTTTCCTTGTCCCATTAGCAAATCTTGTTTTAAGGCCGACCAAATTGTGCTTAAACTAAGATACATTATGCCAAAGTTGAGCAATTCTTGACTTATTTTTCACAACTTTTTACGAAGGATTTGGTTTGCTTTTAAATGAGGTAGAAACCAAGCCCTGGCGATCCAAGATGGCGCCCTGTTCAAATCATTGGATTGTGCTCCAATATGGGCATATGCCCATATTTGGGCATCGTCTGGTCCTCCTAGTTCTGCGCAGTGAATAAGCTCCCATGATGCTTTGCGCCAAATACGCATGTGTGGCTCTCATGCCGTGTTCTGACCAATCAGACGCTGCTGATCAGAGCGGAGCCAGAGCGGGAGACGATCAAGTAGAGTTTGTGGCAGTAAAGTGTGGATTTAAAGAAAACCGAAGGATTTAAGAAGAACAACATTTCAGGATGACAAGGGACACTAAAATCCCCACAAAATCCGACTTTTATGAAAGCTGTAGGTTCTCTGTCAGCTGAGGTCAAGCTGTTTTAGTTTACATTGAGTTCTATGGGGAACATTTCTGGGTATCCCACATGAATTTTGTCTTTTTTAGTCTGCCAAAAATTTCCTCAAGTGAGTCCAGTCTAAACCTGAAGACCTGAGGATGTGGGTGAAGTCTGATGTGTTCCTGAACTTCTGCTATATTCCCTTTGAAGACTGTTCCACAAAAGTGAAGAGGAATTAAAACGTGGCTTAATCAGGGTTTGTCTTTTACAGTTGATTTGAAAATGATCCCATTCACCACCGCTGCGTTAAACATGACTCCCAGAATTCTGAAGCTACTAGAGCTCCCAGAGCAGTCATTTTGACAGCTCCCATTCAAACCAATGGAATTCTGAGAAATTCCCCAATAAAGTGAGTTTATTTATGTAATATTTAACTTGAATCAATTTAAATCAGTCAAAAAGCTAGAACTTGTGATTATAACTGAAATACAGCAGAGAGTTTGTTGAAAGACTACCACATACTAACAATTTGTAATTGTTTGTGAAATTATGTCAATCCTAGACTGGTTCAGGGCCATCTTAGCTTGGAGCAAGAGCTAGTTACCATAGCAACACACTGTTTACATGCAGCAGTAAGTATAACGTTGTGTTGTCTTTCAGTTGTACTCACTAGTTTTATTATGTGTTAAAGATAAAAATCATATGTATTACTTACTATGAATAAAAGTATTGATAAAATAAAACTATTACTTTATCAGAATTAAATACATTTGAATGGGAGCTGTCAAAATGATTGTTCTGGACATTTCAGACTTCTGGGAGTCCTGTGTAAAGGTACAAGAACTACTCATATGAATAAAAGCTAATTGAATGAAAGTACTTAGATAGTAATGAACTACACATTGAAACCAAAATAGACAAAAAGTTATGAAGACCACAAATTTACATGAGCAGTAATTACTCTCCCAAAACTAAAAGCCGTCACATTGACTGCTCTGGTGTTAAAGTTCCAGTTTTAAAGGTTACACATATGCCAAGAGGCTTTGATATTCTAATTTCATTGATTGTCTTTCCCTGTTTGTCCCTAAATCTCGCCGCCTCAGCCCTTTCCCGCTGTAACGACCCGTTCGCACCATCACAAACAAACACATTACTCTCACATCAACCGCAGCTCCTCATTTCAGAAACAGTCTCCATCAGCAGCGCGGCCGGCATCTCCACGGCGCGGCCTGGTGCGCGGATCGCTCAGCCTGCGCGGGCCGCGAGGAGGGTAAATACCAGACATCCTGCAGGATTTACGAGGGTTATTGTCTCTGCAAATGTTTGTGTAACTCCTCAAACACTGGGGGGGCTCTCGCTGCGGCTAAGCGATGGTTTAAGTGCGTGTTTACTGTAATGGCTCCGTACTATCAGCAGGGGGCGATGGGGAGTGGTATTGCAGACTTAATGTCATGGTTGTTTCCTCTCAAAATCCTTCTTGTCATCGTTTTTGCCTCTGCATTTCTCATGAGCAGTTGGATTGGAATTGTTGTTTATATTCTTGTTTATAGAATCTAAATCGGCAATAAGGGTCTTACCTAGATCCAGGACAGGCTAAAGTCTCAGTCCTGGATCCACAGCCTCAGTCCTGGATCTACAGTGTCAGTCCTGGATCCACAGCCTCAGTCCTAGATCTACAGCCTCAGACCTGGATCTACAGCCTCAGTCCTGGATCTACAGTCTCAGTCCTGGATCTACAGCCTCAGTCCTGGATCTACAGTCTCAGTCCTGGATCTACAGTCTCAGTCCTGGATCTACAGCCTCAGTCCTGGATCTACAGCCTCAGTCCTGGATCTACAGCCTCAGTCTTGGATCTACAGCCTCAGTCCTGGATCTACAGCCTCAGTCCTGGATCTACAGCCTCAGTCTTGGATCTACAGCCTCAGTCCTGGATCTACAGCCTCAGTCCTGGATCTACAGCCTCAGTCCTGGATCTACAGCCTCAGTCCTGGATCTACAGCTTCAGTCTTGGATCTACAGCCTCAGTCGTGGATCTACAGCCTCAGTCTTGGATCTACAGCCTCAGTCCTGGATCCGTTCGAACACAGGAAATGCAATAATAACAAAAAAATGACTCCGGGATGACCACTGTCTAGAAATGTAACTAAAGAGTTCATAAATATCCTGGATCATTATTGTTCTTAGACCCTCCTGCATCGGCAAGAAACCACTAGGAAAAAAATATGAGAAACCTTGGGGAGGCCCATATTGAGAGGGGCATCTGCTTCCATGGACTGAGGCTGAGGTGAATAAAACATCTCGGCAAATTTGATTATTTTGAAAATGGACAATCATCAACATTACAACAAACAAAGGCTTGACATTGCATACAGTGGTTTGACTGAACCTCAAAATTAAATATTATAAGTAATAAGTATTTCAAATAATTCTCAGAGTTTCTTCAGTTCTCTATGTAACTAGTTTCAATTCAAAAGATAGCAGGCCCTTCGAAACATCTTCGAACCATGAAGTGAATTACCTCACTTCATGTTTCACGCCCAACTCCAGTCTCTCCTCAGCCGTAGATGTATATTAGGAGAAGAATGACAAAGTGTTAGCCTTAATGTGGAAGAAGCCGATTTTAAAATGAGCTAGCTTGAGCCAATTTTCTTACATGCATTTGTTTGTAACAGGTTGTTCGCATTAGCTTTGTGCCGTAACAGGAGCAGACGTGTTGCTAAGACGGTTGCTAAGGCAAGCTGGAGGATCCTGTGCGAATGAAGGCATCTGATTGGTCAATCCTTATATCCCTATCAGACCTAGATTTACAAAGACAACATCACAATATAAACACCAGGATCATAGTGAGCGCTAAATCATGGGTTTAAAGCCCAAAAGGGTGAGTATGACAAAAACTGTTACTGAGCTGGAGGAGTTTACTTTTAAATGTAAGTCAACAGGAGTTGGAGCAAGACTTTGTCCATGAGCACTTCCCCATTGGGCTTCATTAGGCTAGCAGGTTAGCATTGTCCATCTAGTCTATGGAGCCTGTGTTAGTTTTGGAGGCGTGTGGCGCGGCGCAGATGGGGTTGGATGTCCGCGGAAGCACAGGCTGAGCCCCGCGTCGCTCCAGACCTCCAAGTGCAAACACCCAGAGCACGCTTTGACACCGCTTAACTCGCTGCTGTTTGGAAGGTGTTTTTTATCGGGATTAAGTCAAAATTGGAGTTCTGAAAGTCTTTGTTGTGTGTGTGTTTTGGTGAGGCCTGGTACATTTTGGGATCCTGCGGAGCCTGTCGAACTGCAGATGGAAAAATGTACAGTATTTGTCATGGAACGCTCAAAGAAAAAGGCTGGTAATGCAAATACACCCGGAGTTCTCCATGTGCAGTCTAAAGGGATCTATCTTCTCATTCAAGATTTAAAGCTGGGGTACTTTAGCTTCAGACCATTCTCATAAAGGTTTGCTTCTATTATTAGTTTTCACCTGCATGTGTCTTTGGCCCCATCACACCTTTAGATCTGCTTTATCAGACAGAAAAGTGAAAAACAGAGGGCCACCCTCATCCAATCAGCTCTCAGCCCAAAGTGTAAAAAGTGAACCGAAAGGCTCTTTCTGACTGTTTACTTAAAAATTTGTACATAGGAGGATTTTCCCACATAGCAGGAGAGAACCACTCTCTCCACTTTTTGAACGAAACTCTTTGGTCTTTTTGACAAGGGAAATTTAATAATTTTTTTTTGATAAGGGAAAGGTGGGGGGGTCATAGTCCTGACTCTGGGCACCAACAGTAGGCCAGTCTATGTGTGGAGGCAGCGTTTCAGGTTTCTGCAGTTAAAATCTGGGACAGTCTTCCTGAAAGTGCGAGACTGGCTTCTTCTCTATCAATGTTCAAATCAGTGGGGGAGGGTCCCGGCTCAAAAGTGTCCAAAATGACGTGCGCTGACATGCTGCAATACCACCCCGGGCCGATGGGGGTGGACCCAGAAGAAGAATTAGCCAATGCTGACATATAGCATTGGCAGACCTCTCGAATGGAGCTTGCGCCGGCTGACGCATGCGCAGATGCGTTTTTTTCCATAGACTGTATATATTAACGGACAGAGTCACGCCTATCTCCGCCGTTCTAACTAATGGGCCAAAAAATGTGCTCTACTGGAGCTATTCAAAATGGCCGCGAGTGGTCCCGCCCACAAGAAAATTGTGAAAAAACGCATCTGCGCATGCGTCAGCCGGCGCAACTCCATTCATTTGAACGAGAGACTTCAAAAATTCACAGAAAATAAACAAGTGGTCCAAAAAAATCCACCCCCCTCAGCATTGACACACATGTGGAACGGAGCTTTGGGCCAAGAGCCAACTTTTGGTCCATCCTGTAAAGACGTTTTTGAGAGGTCTGCCAACGCTATATGTTAGCATTGGCTAATTCTTCTTCTGGGTCCACCCCCATCGGCCACTTTTGAGCTGGGACCCGCCCCCACTGGTTTTTTCACAATTTTCTTCACGGCCATTTTGGATAGCTCCAGTAGAGCACCATTTTTGGCCCATTAGTTTGAACGGCGGAGATAGGCGTGACTACGTCCATTATTTTTTACAGTCTGGTTCAAATACAGGTTAAAAACAATTCTGTTTTGCAGCAACAACTGAAGTATTGTATCTTTACTCTGTATAATGCACTGTGATCAGATGTTTTGTGAAGCACTATGAGTTGCCTTGTGTATGAACTGTGCTTTACAAATAAACTTCCTAAAATCAACCCTAAATGCAACAAGTGCATCTTTTATTGTCTCTAATGTGACAATAAACGACGGTAAACGTGTGTCTCTGTTCTGATGTGTCTGAGGACAGGTTTAATGCCCTGCTTTATTCATGGCCCGTCATCTCTTATTTATTTGATTATTTTGTCAATTATTGATGTATTGAATTATTAAAGGCCCACAGGACTGGCGTGCATTATTGACGAGTTCATTGGAGATGATTGCATTCCAGCGGAGTCTTGTTCTTCTGGATATTACAGGATCTGTGCAGCTTTTTCACAGATCTCAACTGTAGCGTCGCCCTCTGGTTCAGTATATATAGGTTTAAAGCAGTGTAGCACGTCAAATTCAATCCCTCACATTTTATTTATAGATCCCCTTACAACATGGTGAGCGAAGTGCTATACAATAAAATCACATCAAATCCATTAAAACATTCATGCAATCAAACAGATAAAAAGTGAATAGAAAATAGTGAAAATAGTGCAGAGTGTTAAAAGTGTCTGAATGAATATGTTTTAAAAAGGACAAAACGTTGAGCACTCATGCAGATCAGAGGGCAGCTTGTTCCAGAGTCTTCCGATCCAGAGACTGAGAATCACTGACTGAGACCGATCACCCCAGTGTTTGAACCTAGTCCGAAGTTCTTCCAGGACGAGCTGAGTTGAGGACCTCAAAGATCTGTCCGAGTCACAAACAGTTAAGAGTTCAGACAAATGCCAACAATTGTAACAGGCTTTCTGACTCTGTGGTCTGTAAAAGGCTCAATATAAATGACTTTCTTTCAAGTACGCAGGGGCGAGACCATTAAGGGCATTAAAAGCAACATGGCAGTTTATATCTGAAAGAGGGTGAGAGTCCCAAGTATACATGGCTTTTAAAAACCTATTTAACAAGATTTTATTTAGTGAGAAACAAGGAAAACCTCATGGTCTTTAGCTCACTGTCACTGCTCCTTGGAAGAGGTGATATTGTCATGCTTTATATATTTTTTGTGTTTAGTTGTACTTCCTGTTTCCCGATGACCTGCCCCGCCCACATGTGTATCACCTGTGTCTTGTTAGTCTTGTATTTTAACCCTTTGTGTACCTTCGCTTCCTGTTTTGTCATTGTAATTCCACATCTGTTTTGGTTCTTGTCCTCGTACCCTGTGTTTTTTCTGTATTTGGATTTGTTTGACTTTGTATTAAATCCATTATTTTGCAGTTTTGCGTTTAATTTTACCCACACGACAGATATATGTGCGCAAACTAAAATAGCTCTGAATGTTTTGGATTGCAGGAATTTGTTTGAAAGTGAGAACATGTGGAGAACTCAATGTTGAGTACTTAACAAAGAAACCACAAAAGTAAAACAATGTTCACTGATTTCCTGGTCAAAATTAAAGCTGGGGTATCTAACTTTCAAATCACAAAATTCAAAACCATGATTTAAAGTTCTCACGCTCAAAACAGCTTCTTTCACAAGTTTTCACAGGC